AATTAAGCTTCATGCTTCTATGAAGATGGCATTTTAAAGAATGGTCAACTTGTTGGATGTGTAAAATTTCCAGTGTCAACTATGCTAGCTTTTGGTAGCAGGGTGACTGACTGGCTGGGTACATGGATGTGCTTTGTAAGTGTATTCATGTGGGTGTATATACATGTGGTACACACGCAGATACACACGTGTAATATGTATGTGTATCTCCCTCACATACACCCACACATGTTCTCTCTTATGCAAGAAAGAAAGAATTGTGTCTGAGAGAAACTTCTCATCCATTCCACTTCACTCCATAGTTTACCATCTCAGGATATGTGTAAATCTGTCTTCAAAAGTGGGAAGTTGAAGTTCTCTGGTTAAAGAATTTTTTAATGTGTTTCCCCTTCTTAGGTAGAGAAGATTATCTGTAACTTAAAACCAGCTTTAAAACTTCGTCTTCGGTTCATCACACACATTAGCAAGATGGAACCAGCAGCGGTGCCTCCCCAGGCTGTGAGCAGCGGGTCCCCAGCACCTCAGGCTAACCAGGTGCCAGTGTCTCTACCTGTGACCCAGTGAAGCCAGAGCACACTGTGGAGAAAATGGAAACGCATCACTTCTGAACGCGGACTCCAGTCTGTTACGTCTGAATGTGACCGAGCTACAGTGATGTAGGGGAAGGAGCAGGGATTTTCGGATTGTTGTAGTTTGATTCGATGGTGAATCTGTCGACACTTTATGACTCCCATCCCCCATCTTTATTTTTGTCTCTAAGATCAAGTAAGCTACATCCTGTTCATGTTTGTAACAATTTCTTAGAGCTACTGAGGAACTCAGAAGTATCTGCTCAAATAACTTTTTCTAACCATTTTCAATCTATCTATTGGTTTTGTTTTTATTTTTTATTATTGATGACATGTTCAGTCATCAAATGCATTATTTTAAAGGTACCACACATGTAAACTCACTACTACAAATCCTTTGATAAATACATCAGCTTTGGTATATCCTCAGATTGATTGGGATTTTTACTGAGTAAAGGACTCTAAATTTCAGAGCGGGTAGGAGCAAGCAGGGTTTCACGTTCTTTTAAATATGGCTTGAGATTTTACTATGAATTTGCAACATTTCTATCAAAATTAGCTGTTTTTGGCCTTTGTTGTGAACTTGAATTTACTGTATGAAATGAGTTTGGAGCCATTTAAGAAAATAACCTATCTGAAAATTCATAAAATTAAATAAAATCATGCTTAAATGGTTGATAAATTAATTGTTTTTGTAGTTTGACCCTCTTCACCTAACAGATGATGTAATTCTTTAAATTTTTGTAATCTTAAAATTTTTAAATATTTATATTTCTAAGCATAGTTTACATTTTGACCCTTTAGGGTTTATTAGATTTTGAGAGGCATTGTTAATTATGGGGGGAACTGGCAGTGTGAAACACTCGAACTCTAATTAATAAATTCTGTTGAATGCATAAACTGCATGATTCTTTCATGATTTAATTTGAAAGTAGGTCTGTGTGTCTGTCTGG